AACCGGCAACCTTCCGATTACAAGACGAACTCCCAACTCTTGAGCCACGATCGCTCCAGTCACAGTACTGTTCCTATTGGCAATGCAAACCCAAATAGAAAAAACCCCACACATCCCGAGGATGTAGTTATTCCCCAGTGACTATGGAGTTCAAAAGCACCTTGCAAGCGACAAATTTCAATTAGAAGACACAGAAAAGAGTTGCATTTAAGCATAAATATTGATTTAAATACCACATCAGAGTACCGACAACAACACAGTCTCCTCTCTATTCAATTGTGTAACTTCCATTTGTGTAATCAATATCTTCCACTTATCCAAAGTTGATTTGTGGTGGCAGCATGCTGGGGAGGATGTTCCAGTCATCCTTCTCCCCTACAACTTCTTCCAGTTCCTTATGAGATCCTGAGGTATTCCCAGGCCAAACCACCTTGACTGGCTCCTTGCAACACGGAGGAGCAGCAGCCCTATTCCAACGTCTCTCTCTAAGGCCAGCCCAGCTACCTTCTAGGAGAAGCTCATTTCAATCGCTTGTAATCAGTCTTATTCTTTAGTTCATTTCCAAGATCTCATGACCATACTGTAGGTCACAGTTGCAACACAGACAGTCTGTTAAATCAAAAGTTTATAAAACTTTACCTATTTTATCTAATGGGGGAATGATCTTAATAATGCAGATGAGTTAAGAGTGTGTAAAAACATGTCTCTCCAAAGCAAAGTGTCTCAAATTGAAGAGCATAACAAGTATAATTTCCACAGGCAGCATGTATAAATCCCAAACGCAGAAAACGTATACACAACACTGATGCATTAAGGCCTTTAGTTTCAGACTGCGCTTTCCAGTGTGGTTGTGGGCATATAGAGCTGCTGTGGGATGGGAAATAAAAAAATCAATCACTCAGTCAATAAAAACAATACATTTTTCTTTCCGTTTATTCCTCGTGGAACTTACTGTTAAACTATTTTTGTCCAGCAAAATGTCTGATGTTAACTTTGAGGCTGGAGTCAATGTGGACTAAACGGGCACTTCAGTCGAATCCTGCTGACATCAGGCGTCTGATGGGAATATAAAGCCCATAGATGTGAAACCAACCCTTTGTTTTAAGAGATTTCAGCCCCCTCACAGGGATGTTTGCCTCCACTTAGATTGTTTTTTTTAGTGGTATTCATGGAACAGTTTTGTTAGCAGCCAGCTTGTTTACTTCTGGACTGGACCTAACAGTGATGTTATCAGCTGTGGAGAAAATTTGGAAACAACAAGTCAGAGGAAAACTTGTTGTTTGGCAACTCAGTACTCGAGTTCATGTTTAAAAACAGCTTAACAGCTTCATCCCCAAATGAAAGTGACCTACTTTCTTCTCTGTAATTCACACCAAAGCAAAAAAAGTTCCCTCCTGTCTAATGGTTCTCTGCAGGTTGCTCAGGTTGTTTTTGTTGTGCCTTATCCCACTGTCAGACATACTCCAATTTGGCGACGGTAGTATGCTAGAGAGCCTCCCGGAGCTGGAGCTGGAGGGGCCACTTTCACCACAACCTGGAGTAGGTGGAGAGCTGGGACCACTACACTGAGCTCAGAGCAAAACAAGGACTTTAGTCGCCAGCTACAGCTCAAGATGACAGAGCTGGAGTCCATCCACGGGGTGAGAAACATGTTCGAGAGGCAGCTGAGGGGCACAGTTTAGTGTCTTAAAGCATTTATGGTATTCTGTCACGAGTCTCTCTTCACGAGTAAATGGAGGCGTTGTTCTTCACAGCATTACATTTGGTGGGTGTAGTCTGATAGAAAGAAATGAGTTCCTATATGAACTGTGAACATGTTTTTTTTCCCCTTTCTGCAAATAAAGCGCCATCTGATCCCAGTATATTATAGAGAAAGGCAGACATCTCTACAGCCGATATCTCCAAAAACTGGGCAACAGTTTTGCAATATTTCAACACAATAAAAGCAAAAAGCAAATTCTGGGGTCCAAGCATTTAATTAGGGCTGCACAAAAAAATTAATATTTTCTGTAAATTCTGTGAATCTGTGAGTCGAGTGTTTTAACCGA